ACAGGAAAAAGAACTTGGCACAAAGTACAAATATACATTTTTGACAGATGGGTAAGGATGAAACGGATATTTTAAGCATGACTAATGAAATTGAATATGCAGAACAAAATGCACTGTACAGCTCACTATCTTGTCTGTGTAGGTCATGGGACATGGGAAAATTTCTTCATACCCAGTGCAAACTGAGTTGCATCAGATACCCACCGTTTGCCAGAAAATGGATCAATATCAGAAAGTCTTATGGAAACTTTTATAAGGTTTGTTTTCATGTTCATTTTCCTTATGATTCCTTACAAAGTCACAGAAAGAAAAAATCGGAATGAAAAAATGCGTAATTGAATGTAAATCAGGATACTTTAAAGCTGAGTATCTCATGTTTTAAATAAGTTGGCTTTGGATTTTTACATTTGAAAAAAATCTGAGATTTTCACGAGTCTCATGCTTGTTTCTTTCAGGTTCCTCGTACTCAGACAAAACTAATCTGCATGCTGGAGAATCTTGGTATGCAGTATGACGGACGTCCCCACTGTGGTCTAGATGACTCCCGCAACATTGCCAGAATTGCCATTCACATGCTGAAGGACGGCTGTGAGCTGCGGGTGAACGAGTGTTTGCATTCAGGAGAACCACGGAGCGTGCCTATCTCTGCCCCTATTGAAGGAGCCCCAGCACCTCAAACCCCCAAGAAAAGAAACTAAAATGAGCATTTGAAAGACTCTTTCCCAAAAATAACATTGCTTAACGTGGACAAATATGAAAACCTGTCTCAATGTGAATGTAAGATAATTGGGACAAACTAATATGGGTTTTCTTAAAATTGTTCCAGTAATGTGCACAGTTTCTTTTCTGCAAAAGTTTACACCATAGCGGATCAGGGTTTGGATCAGTGGGGTGAGGCTGAGCTTTCACTTGACTGCAAATTGGGTTTTGAAACTTGCCCCTGATAAACTGAAATAACAGTTTCAGGCAAAAGGCTTTTTTCAAGCCTAACTGATGGGTGATTAATACTTGCAAGACTTTTTTGCATTGCTTTTTTAATTCATGTTGCACATCCAATGGAAGAACTCCATTTGTGTTCATTTGTCAATAAAAAATGTTTATGATGCCACTGTACAATATTATTTTAATAAGAGATATCATTTTATATGTTATTCCTATTTGCTTAAGATCCAGATACAATTTTCAAGTGTACTACATTTTTGTTAGTTAAACTCTTGTGTACTCGGGTACTTTGCACATTAATGGTCTATGCAAAGTTTAGATATGTTTTGGTTATGCAACAAGATTGGTCAACACAAAGTTCACCCTGTTTCTGTCCACCATATCTAATTTTCCAAGGCCATGCAATAACAGACCATTAAGAATGAACTGTTAACACAATCGCATTTATTCTAATGTACTGATTTTGTTTTTAAAATGTTTTAGTAGTGCATGTAATTTCTCTTACTTTCTAATGTTAATATTTCTGTTCTGATTAGATGCACGTTAGTTTAGCAAAAGCAATGCAGCTGCGCATCATGTCCAGTAGATGGCGTCAAATAACACTTCTCTAAATTGTAAACAACACAAATAAGGAGACAGGCGGGCTTATTAGCATGAATTTGGTTTATGTTTCACTTATCTATTATGTATTTTGTATTTCATTCCAGTTTGCTTGTACAAAGACTAAAGTTCCTTTCATATCTCAGGCAAACAGGATCCAGCTGTATCTCATGTGATGTTTTAGATTAGAAGCAAGTTATTATTTACATTGGGTGGCGGACGGTCTCATAAACATGCTGTTATTTACTGTTAGTAAAACCAAAACAACCGAAACGAAATTACTTTAACATCCCATCTTCACTGCACGCGACGCTACTACGAACGCTATTATCAATACCGCAGTTAATACGCGACGCGTCCTTCGTCACCCAGCTGACCAATCAAAGCTTTTGTTTATGCGAGCGTTGCGTTGCTGGCGCGTAGAGAAGGTGGGGCTCTTAAGCAGTACTGCTCCTGTGACCGTTCACTGCTGGCTGCATGCGCAGAGAACAGACGGAGACACACAAGGAAAGGCTACTGCAGCCACCACTGCCCTTCTTTCATTCTAACCCACTGGATATGTCTTAGGTTTTTTCTCTCATGTGGTATCAAAGGACGCGCTGGCGGAATCGCCAGCCACACGAACTGGGACTTTTGATGCGCGCGTGCGCTTTTTATTCTGCTGTCTATGGCGCAGATAACGAGGATGCGTGAAAGAACGCAGCCCAGCCCTGTTTTCCTGAATGCTATTGAACATATTTTCGGATGAAGATGAAATCGGCATGGTCTAAATGTTGGTTTCATCTGGATTGCTGTGCGGAGAACCCGAATCGATAAAGCAAGTGAAAGCAGCACAATGCTGCCTAGTTGATTGATCACTGTGCTCAATGAGAACAAGAAGGAGGAGCACGGCTTCGATACGATGGCTGAGGAGAATAACCTGAAGACAGCTAGATTATGGAGGGATGCTGCTTTGCGCTCCCGGAAGCTGAGGAGCAATCTGAGACAGCTGACTCTCAGCACCAAAAACTGCCAGAAAATTACATTACCCGAGGACATAAAGGAGATCGAGGTCCTCAATCTGGGCAACAACTCTCTTCAAGAGTTTCCAGAGGGACTGGGCTCAACCCTGACCAGGCTTCGCATCCTCATCCTTCGTAGGAACAAGTTTGCAACTGTTCCCACTGCAGTATTTCAACTTAGTCAGCTGGTTGAATTAGATGTCAGTCACAACTGCTTGAACCACTTTTCAGAAGATATTGATCTTCTCAAGGGGCTTAAAAAGTTGTGCATTAGTCATAACAAAATCCAGTACCTGCCATCTCAGATTGGGACTTTGCAAAGTCTGGAGGAGCTTGATATCAGCTTCAATGAGCTGCATGATTTCCCCAGGTCCTTTTCACAGCTAAGGAAGCTCAGAACTCTCGATGTGGATCATAACAAGCTACAGTGTTTCCCTTCTGAAATACTTGCCCTCTCTGATCTGGAGGAACTTGACTGCTCTGGGAATAAACTAGAGGGTCTTCCGGGTAACATCATGATGCTCCAATCTATTAAAATCTTGTGGCTCAGCAGCACTCACCTCTTGTTTTTGCCTGAAACGTTTTGTGAGCTGCAGAACTTGGAGAGCCTGATGCTTGATAATAATTTCCTCACAAGCCTGCCACAATCGTTTGGGAAACTGCAGAAGCTGAAAATGCTCAATCTCTCCTCAAACTCTTTTGAACATTTTCCTCAGGTTATTATCAAACTCACCAGTTTGGAGGAGTTGTATTTAAGCCGGAATAAA